TGGTGAAGAAAAAGGAGGATATAGGCTGCAGGCGTGCGTGCGCGCGTGCGCACACACACACACACACACACACACACACACCACAAACCTGCAGTATGTTATCCAGCAGCCCACTTCTCAACAGCCCCTGAGCTGGGCACACTAAGGAATGATGTTATGTATGTTTTGTACCAAAATGTCCATGCTGGATCTAGCTCAGTAGGTGTGGTCTCTGAGTCTCCTTCTCATTGTTCACACACCAGCTCCTTGCCCTTTAAACCTTCAGACTCAACTGCCAGGCCAGAAGCATTTCAGGCAGGTGCTTCTCTGGCCCTCCCACACCCCCGGAGACAACTAGACTCAGGCCCCTGAGCAGTGGGAGGTGAGTCTGGCATCCCTTGCCGTCCTCATTTCTCCCTCTGTCCTCCTTCTAGCTGCAGCTGACCCATCACCTTGGTCCTCAGACCCAGTGAAGGTCAGCACTTCTCCCCTGCTATTAATGCAGAAACTTCCAGGGTCTGCCTCCCTCCACCCCTTCGCCAGTGCTATTGCCTCTCCCCCCGCCCCCCGCCACTCCCTCTCGACCCCTGAATCAGCCTGATCTAGTTGCATTCTTCCAGAGTTCTAACTTCTATCCCTCCTGCTAGAATCTCGGGAAGGAGCAACAGAACACGGTGGCCAAGCTGTCACCCCCCCAATCCTCTCCCTGGCCCGGTCCAGCCCAGCATTGATCTCTTAATTGCTTCTTTTTTCTCACAGTTACATGTTTTCCCCTCTCTAATCGGCTTCCCTGCAGCCAGGCATCTTCTCCCAAGCCTCTCCTTCATTCCCCACTCTATTGAAGGAGCTCATGCTGCTCACGTCATATCCAAGGTGGAGCCCCAGGGGAGGGGCAGAGTCAGAGTTGGGATGGAAGGAGGACGGGAGACAGAAGATGCTGCTCAAGGGAATGGGGCGGGGGGGTGTGGGGTGGCCGGTGGAGTGAAAGCAGCTTCAGAGCCATTTGTCACTCTTAGCATTTCCTATTTTTCAGGGGAGGAAACTGAGGCTCAAAAAGTTCAGTCCTGGGGCACCTGACTGGCTCAGTCGGGAGAACATGTGACTCTTGATCTCGGGGCTGTGAGTTTGAGCTCCACATTGGGCGTAGAGATTACTTAAAAATAAAAAAATCTTAAAAAAAAAAAAAAGTTCAATCCTGTGCTCCATGACATACAGCTACTGAAGAAGAGCCACAAATTCAGGGTTGGTTGTTTTTTTTTCACTCCAAACCCCCCCTTCGTTTTACTGCACTGGTACGAACTTTGACGGGTGAGGGAGCAGTTAACTCTCCCAGAGCGAGTGGTGGCCCCCTCTCTGAGACACCCGGAGGTTTGGGACCTTGCACTCTTCTCCATCTGGGGTTGTGAGGAGAACCACAGCCGTTGTGTATTTACTACAAAGACTCCCGCTCACCAACGCCTTCCCCAGTCACCCTACTTAAAATGACCACACTTTCACACTCCATATCCCCCTTCTGTTTCTTCTCTTCATCATTTATTACATCCCATACACTAAATGTTTCACTTATAGCCTGTCTACCCCACCCCCCCACCAGAATGTCCGCATTACAGTGGCAAGGACTTTTGTCTGTTTTGTTTACTATTGGATCCCTAGCTCTATAGTGTTTGGCATATAACAGGTACTCAATAAAAATTTATTTATACAACAAAAAAGGAAGCCTGAGGCTTCCTTCTTGCATTGCAGCCCACAGTGTGGCTCCTCCATAGAGCCTCTCAAGTGCTGCTAGGGTCCTGAAATGCTTGTCTCCCACTCCACACTGCCAACACCCCACCCACCCTGGGACTTGCGCTGTACTGAGAGAAGTCACTCTGCCTGCACATGGCCCCACGTTCACCCTTGAGTGAGGGCAGCAGCTGGGTCTCAAGGCCCCTTTATTACATGAGAGGCTAGTGGGGCCTCATTTAAAGCCTCCCATTATCCAGGTAATTACAGCGCTGTATGGGCCAACTATGGGCCAGGACCCAGGGTTAGGAGCCTTTGGTGGGATGAGGGGTAGAAGCTGGAGCCTATTTACATGTAAATGGCATGGCAGGTTCATGCCTTTGAGAAGCTCAGGCGCTGATCCTAATTGGATGCAGCCATCTCTTACCTCTTCACTTCCCCCTACCAGTCTGGAGAAGGAAATCCAGGCTAGGCAGGCTGGAGGGAACCAGGGTGGTGGCTTGGTGGGGGGCGGGGGGGGGAGCAGGAAAAGGAGTGTTAGACCGAGGGCTCAGGACTAAAGCCTCCTGGGTCCCATCTCCGAGGCAGCCTCTCTCCACAGCCCCCACCCCTCCATCCCTGCCTCCGTGCCCTGGCACCAGGGAAGCAGGGCTTCAGCAAAGGTCCACCATGAATAATGTCCTTTGATGATGCAGCATCTCACAGAGGATGGCAGGAGCCAAGGATGGGGGGAGCAAGGGCATGACAGGGAGAACTGATCACCCCTTGATCTCTGGGACTAGCAGAGACTTGAAAGAGCTAATGCTAAACTAAGCCAGGGAAGTGAGGAAGGAGGGAGGCTTTGAAGGGTTGGGGCAGGCCGGGCTTCATCTTGCCCACACGCCGTGTGCAAATGGCATGTGAAGTGCGTGTTGCAGCTCCGGAGCGCCTAGGTGGTTTTCCCTTTGACACTTTCTGTTTGAGCCACATCCTGGACAGCCATCACTGGCCTAGAGGAGCGGGGTCCCTAGCAGGTCCTCCCTCTGGAGCTCCCTCTCTTTGTTGCTGGGGTGGGCTGGGGATGAGGCCAGGAAAATGTGTGTTGAGTTGAGAGGAGATGGCGTTTGTCAGCCGTTCCTGGGGCCGACGAGCGTGTGTTGTGCGTGCGAGATGACCCACATATGTCTACCACATGCACGGCTAGGGTGCAACACGGCGACTTCGCCAACCTCCTGGAGAGGTGCTGTGGGGTTGGGGGGAGAGGCCAGGCTGTAAAGGACCCGGGGCGGAGACACCAGGAAAGGATGGGAGGGTGGCCGCTTCTGCATCCTGCACAGTCCTGCAGCCAGGCGACAGCTGGGAGCCGGTCCCCAGCAAGGAGCTGGAGGAGCCCCCAGTAAACTGCAGAGCAAATGGGCTGGGCCAGGAAGGCCGGCTTGAGCTGCTGTGAGCTGAGGCATAGAATGGCTCCTCATGGGGACTAGGGGCCTCCAGGCCGGCTTGTGCCCCTCAGAGAAACCACCCAGACTTCAAGAGTGCTGGGCTGGCCGCGCAGGGAGGCAGCAGAACCGCAGCTTCTCCCGTCCCGATGGAGCCAATTCAAGCCCTATAGCACAGGTGGGGCAACAGAGCCCCCAGAAGCTTCGGGGGCCTGAAAACGCACACTCCTGAGCCCCAGAAGAGAAGAGAGGCAGAGTTGGAAACACAGGAGGGAGGGATGGGAGAGTAAAGGAGAGGAACCCTCACCCTTCCTCAGACCAGCATCAGTCCACATGACTGCTGGAGGGAGGACAGGAGGGGGACAGGGACTCCAGCCCTCCCCCCGCTCCCCTCCCCAGTCCAGAGAGCTGACAGTGCCTTCAGCCCTGGGGAAGGAAAGCAGGATGGGGAACAGCGGCTGCATATTCTCCTGAAATTGCTTCTGAAAATGACCAGACACTTCACTGGGAAAGTGACGACAATTTGGGCCCTGGGAGCAGGAGATGAGGCGGAGAGCGGGGGCGGTCAGGCTCTGGTAACCAACCCCCCTGGCCAGACAGGATCTCCTCGGCCTGATTCTGAGAAGTCAAGGATGGGGGGGAGCTGTGGGGGGTGGCAGAAGGCTGACTGGGAGCCTGAGCTCCCCTCACTCAGGACACAGCCCCCCCACCCCCACCCCCCCCTCCTGGGAAGAACTGACTCCCTGGGCCCTCCCCCCGCCCTGAGCAGGGTGTGCAGGAACGCGGGCTGGTGCTCAGAGAGCGACATCAAGCTGCAGGCAACAAGAGAAGCGAATCACGTCTCCCGCCGGCATGATTACCTGGGGCCGTGAGCTGCCTGCGGATGATAGAAACTCTGGAAGCTCGAGGTGGAGGGAAACCCCAGCCTCCAGGCCCAGAGAGCTCAGTGGTAGAGATAGGGAAGAGGCAAGGAAGGTAGGGGTGGTGGAAGGAGGGAGAGACCTGCAGAGACAGGAACAAAGGCAGCCATTTGTACGTTCTCACAGAGCACAAATCTACCTTTCACTGCAAACACGGGAGCTGCTTGTTCCCTAAAGTACAGACAGGGGTGGGAGAGGCTGAGACAAGCAGAGTCTATAAGGAAACAGATATTAAGGGAGAGGGGAGCTATTCAGAGCGTTATACAAAATATTACAGATTGATATTAGAGCCCACAGAAAAGGGGACAACGAGATGGTGTGAAACAGTTGAAAATCAAGAAAAAAATAATGGCGATGACACAAGGGTGGGATGACATAGGGGTGAGAGAGTCTGGGTCCGGGAGCCTCCCCCACCCCCCACACCCTCTGCAAGTGCCACCAGCTGCCGGCCCCAGCTGCGGGGCAGTGATTAGCAAGATAACTGTTGGCAGAAGCCTTGCATCTCTGGTGTACAGAAAGGAAGGGGATGCTGGGGGGCAGATGTGGCAGAGCCCAGTGATGAGCTTGGGGATGGAGGGGGCACTGGAACTCTTGGGTGCAGGGGACCCTGCATTCCCCAGCTCACCTCAGCTCACATGAGCCCGCCAGCCTTGGGCCTCTTTTCAGGCTAAATCTCCAAAGGATCCTAGTTTCCAACAAGACAGGGATCCTCACTTCTTCCCTCCAGGGACACACTTAATGAATCAGCCCGTTGGCCACCTGGGACCTGAGTCCCATCGCTGGCTGCCCCACCCCCACCCCAGTCTCTCCAAACCCCGCCAGAGCTCAGCCGGTCAAGGAGCCTGCAGACAATTTCCCTTCTTTTCCATTCTTATTATCTGCATTTGCTAGCTCCAAGGAGCCTGAGGAGGGGAAAGGGGGCGAGGGCAGTCAAAGTACAAGTCCTGTGAGGGTGGGGGAATAGGGACTCACCCACACTGAGCGAATGTTTGGGAAGTCACTTGTTTTATTAGTGGGCAAAGAGGCTGAGGGTTGGGAGGAAGCTAAGTTCTAAGGGAGAGGGGACTGGAAGAGTTTGAGAGAAGAAAGGTCCTCTTCAAGGGTTCTTCAGTCTCTGAGCCCCATCCCCAGGATCAGAGGGGTTGGACAGGAGATCCTTCCACAAACGCCGGTGGGCACTGGTCCCGGAGAAGAAGCTGTTGTCCCTGCGTTCGGCCCCCACCTCCTCACTATACAGTCACTTCCAGGCCACGGCTTCCTTTCTTCTTGCAACTTAGCTTGCCATTTCTACCACCCTCAGGGCCCTGGATGACCTTGACAGCCACACTGCTCTCCTTGAACCTCACTGAGAAACTGGAGGGGGAACAGACAGAGGGGCAAAGCTAGTACCCCCATCCCCTCACCCCTACTCCTATATTTTCATGATGGCTTCCCCTCCCCTTCTTGAAGGAAGCGCATCTCTCCTCCCCTTGCGTCAGAAGACTCAGGGCCCCAGAGAACTTGGGTGGGGAGACTAAGAAGCACCTCCGAGCCTTGCCCTGACAGAGTGTGCTTCACTTTCTGACTACACGAATTTTCCCGGTCACAATGACCAACAGCTTGGTCATCTGCCCCCAAGCTGGCCCTCACCCCCAGCTCATGGCCTTACTTCTCAGTCACGGTGACTGGAAGCTGCTTCTGTGTGGCATCCAGCACAGCCCGGTACATTTTGGTTAGCAGTTCAATCACATGTTCGCTGACCAGCAGGAAGTCCCCCTTGGAGCCCACTGATGATATCTTAGGAAGGGGGAAAAAGAGTGAGGACAGAATTCATTTTTCCTCCACAGGAGCAGCCTGAGAGGCATTGAAGGCCCAGAGTGAGAGGTCTGGGCCCCATCACCTCCAGCCCACCCCAACCCCGTGATGCCCACCACCTTCTCCAGTCCGAGGGCCTGCACCCAGGGAGCTCTTATACCTCACTCAGATGTAAGCTGAAAAGCCCATCCTTGAAGCCGGTGACTGACACCCCGGCCACACTGTCCAGCCCAATGACAGTTTTGGCCTGGGACTTCTTGGTGTCTACAAGAATCACATGCCCTTTGGTCAAGAGAAGAATTCGAGAGGAAGTCTAGGGACAGAAGAGGAAAGTGTGAGGAAAGGCGAGGATAAACCCCCACCCTTCCAGCTACCAGCCCCAAGGCTCTGGCGCAGGCTCTGGGGAGGAGTTCTGGATGCAGGCCTTCACCTTGCCGTTGCCACGATTGACCTTCTTCACGGTCTCTGCCACCAGAACAGGCCCTTCCAGACCACCCGTCAGCTTCTGCAGCTTGGGGTTCCCTTGCAGCCCAATGTAGTCACCGTGGAATGGGATGGGAACACTGAGGACACACAGGAGGTACATAGTGGAAACCAGGTTCTTACCGCTGACCCCCAAGGCCCTGGGCCTCCCCACAGTGAGTTCCCCTCTTAGTCCTCCCATGCCCCTTTCCTCACCCTCCACCATATCCTCTATCTCAGTGGTTCTCAGAATGTGGTCCACGACCAACAGCAGCGTCCCCTGGGGACTTGTTAGAAAGGCAAATTCTTGGGCCCACAGCCCCAGACCTGCCGAATCAGAAACTCTGAGAAAGGGGTGCAGCAATCCGGGTGTTACCAAGCCTGCCAGGTGGTGCTGATGCACACTCAAGTTTGGCAACCACTGCCCTATCCCACCTGGGGGAATCCTCTCTTTGCTCCTGATGAAACTGACTGCGTGAGGTCTGAGGGGCCCTCACCTCTGGGGGTAGGAAGCCTTCTTGCCCTTGAACAGTTCGCTGGCACAGAGCTTCTCCTTCAGGATCTCTACCTGCTTCGGGGACAGCTGATCCCGGAATTTCTTGCACTGTGAGGGGGAGGGGCAGGGGCTAAGCTCCCGGAGGTAGGGGGCAGGACTGGGGAGGGGGGTGGGGAGAACACTGAGAGGTGGAGAAGAGGAGAGACAGCAGATAGAACAGGCTCTAGGCACTTCAGAGAGGCCAGGGGCTGCAGGAGCCCTGGGGCCTGAGGGACTCCGGGGGAGAGGGATGGAAACAATCAAATGCCAGCCCTAGGAGCAAATGCCAGCCCTAGGAGGGAGGGCTGTATGCCCAGCACACAGCGCAAGGCCTAGTCTAGACAGGCGTTCAATAAGTATTTCCTGAACGGAAGAACACTGCTGAGTGAAATAAGCCAGACATAAAAGGACAAATGTATGATTCTACTTATATGAGGCCCCTAGCACAAATTCACCGAGAAAGTAGGGGACGCGTTCCAGGGCCTGGAGGAGTGGAGAACGGGGAGTCACTGCTTCATGTGTACAGAGTGTCAGTTTGGGGTGATGAAACGAAGTACGGAGATGGATGGTGGTGATGCTCTCGCAACAATGTGAGTGTGCTTAATGCCGCCGCACTGTCTACTTTAAAATGGTTAAAATGACCAATTTTGTTATGTATGCTTTTCCACAATAAAAAAAAAATGAAAAAAAAAAAAAGTGGAAGAGGGAGGCAGGAGAGGAACATCAGAGGGAGGAGGAGAAAAAGAGAAATGAGAGGCGCGGCGCCCGGGCCTGCCTCACCTTCCAGCGGTAGAAGAGCTGCTGCAGCTCCTGGTTAGCTGTGTGGAAGCATCTGTAAGGTGCGGCCGGCCACGTTTTGTCCAGGATGTTGGTAGACGGCAAACTGTCCTTCAGCCCCAGCAGGAACTTCTGTGTCTAGATGGGGAAGGGGCGGGATTGGGAGTGGACCAATGAGAAGAAAGTCCTCCCAAGAGGCAAACTCTCCTCCAGATCCTGCCACTAAAAAGGAGGGAGGCCACCCAGAGTGAGAAGCACCAAGTGGAGCGAGGAGATGGAAGGGAGTCCTCTCCCGGATCTCTTTTGGTGTCAAGTGTAGGCTGGAGGCTGGCCAGTAAAAGTATGAATGGGAGACTGAAGGGAGGGAAGGGTTAGTTCCAAGCAGAGACCTGCTGCCCAGGGTAGTGAGGTGAGAGGAACCAAGGTGAAAACTGGCCTCGAAAGTTCGCTCCTGTAGCTTCCTATTGTCTGGGTTCACAATTGCTTACCGCCGGCTGCCTCTGCAGCGGCTGTCTCCCCTCCTCTCTGATCAGTCAAGCCCAAGACCTCCACCTGGCATTCAAGGTCTGCCACACAGAGCCCAGCCTCATGCCACAGGATCCCCTGCACTATCCTGGCACACCTCTCAGACAGGACTCCTCGTCACGCCCTCTGCCAGTCCATGCATCATCACTCTGTGCCTTAGCCCACCCTGCTCTCAACTCAGCTCCGCCCACTCAGATTCTACTACCATCCTTTGAGATGCACCTCCATACCTAAGAAGACTAACATTAATTAGATACACTCATCCACCAGCAATGCATGCTCAAATTTCTCCTAATGTCCTTTATAAACTTCTAAAAATGTCCTTTTTAAAAGCTTTGCTTTTATTTTTCCTGTTCTAGGATCCAATCAAGTTTCACCCATGGCATCTGTTTAGTCTCTCCCAATCTAGAACAAGGATTCTCAAGTCTTTATATCCCAGGGAGCACCCAGCACCCTGTTTGTTTGTGGGGTAGAATTATTGAAGATATAGAAAATGGCTTGATTTTGGGGTACCCGGATGGCTCAGTCAGTTAAGCAGCCAACTCTTGATTTCGGCTCAGGGTCTTGAGATCGAGCCCCACCTTGGGCTCCACACCCAGCCTGGAGTCTGCTTCAGGATTCTCTCTCTCCCTCTGTCTCTTCCCCACCCCCTTCCGCCTCGCTCGCTCATGCTCTCTTTTTCTAAAATAAATGAATCTTTTTTTAAAAAATGGCTTGATTTTGAGCACTTCTAAGTTTTGGGAATTTTTCTGAAAACTTTTTACTAAGACATTAGGTTAGAAAAATTAAAATAGAAAAAGGCAGTGCACTCAGTATATTGCCGTAACTCTCCAGGAACTATCCCAGCTCTTTGATTCTTCCACTACAAAGATCTAGCAGGCTTGTTCTAATCACCTTAGACCCTGGTTTAAGTCCCCAGTCCTTGGTCTGGTCTAGTTTGATTTAATTCAATAAATACTCCTAAAAATTTCCCACAATCCCCCATGTTCTAATTCATGTGGAACCTCTGAGGGTTTTCTTTTTTTAATTGTTTTTTCTAGATCTAGAAAGTCTTGCCTTTCCCTTTCCAGCCCTCCTGCCCCAGGTAGGCCTCCACGGGGGGAGAGGGGACAGTGTGGGGAGACAGTCGTAGGCGGGCGTTAAAACTCTGGAGTCAAACAGTTTGTATTCCAGCTCTCTCACACTTAGCACCTGTGGGATCCCTAGCAAGTTATTCAGCCTCTCTGGGCCTACAAAATGCAGGAAAGAAAAGGGTCTACCTGACAGGACTTTTGACAGCATTAGAGTTAATGCATGTAAAGGGCTTAGTGCATAGTAAGTGTTCAAAAAATAGGTATTAGCATTAGGTTACACACAAGGCAATAGCAAAATACGGACTCGTCAGAAACACTGGAGGAATCCATGCCGAGTGGCCCCCGTACGCTTGCTTCTGTAGGGGCTGTGATTCGCTGAAATATTGGTCTAAACCCAGCAGCTCCTGGGGTGACAGTCAGCAGATGCCTGAGACTATGCAGGTGAAAGAAAAGGTAGAGGAGGGGCCAGTCAGAAGGTAAGAGTCAAATCAGATTACTGGCCTCAGGGATTCGGCGAGAGAGCATGTACTCTAGGAGAGCGGCCATTCTGGAGCCGGTGTGAGGAAACACAGGCCATGGAAGAGGCCTGGGAAGATGGAGCTCCCCTGGGGCGGGAGGAGGAGGGCACAGTGAAGGCTCAGGGAGGCAATAAGGAGGCCCAGGGATCCCACCTCTCCAACCACAGAGGGGAGCTCCAATGAGTGTGTCTCAAGAGCATAATTTGTAAGAGTCCCAACAACTGTCAAAAATGGAATCAAAAATGGAATGAGCGGAGGTCAGTTCTCCTTTACCCCAGGCCTCTGTCCAAGATGTCCTGCTCTCCCTCCCTCTCTCTGGCCTTTCATAAAGCATCGCTGGAAGTGCTACTCTCTCCCGGTCGGCTTTCCCTCGCCACTCCTCAGAAGCACCATCGCTGTTGGATGGACATCTCTGGAAATCACCCTCCTCTGTTTTCCTCTCGCTGGAAGCTGCCCATAGCTTGAATGTCCTGGCTTCTTCCTGCCACCCAGACCCAAGTCCTCCAGAATTAAGATCTTTCCTGAGATTTAGTTTTGGACTCGCTTGCTATGGTTTCAGAAGAGAGATAGGATTCCTCCACCTTCACCCGAACCCTAAAATGGATCTTGGAAGGCTGAGTTAGTTAGCGCTATGTGTGTCCTCACAGTGCTCTTGCACTGTTGTTAACCATCCGGCCCATGTCTTCCTGAGTCTATTCGCCACAGACCAGTCAGTGAGTGTGCTGGGAGCCCTTCCGGCCACCACTTTGCCTGCAGTGTCCGCTCAGGCCAGAATGCCCTCCCATTCTGCCCCTGGGCCCTGGGACACTGGAGCCTGCTCCCTGCAGGCTGCTGCCCCACTCCCTTTTATCCCTGGACTTCATCGTCAAGTACAAGCAGATCGAAGAAGCCCTTGGGGGGAAAGCCTTGGGTCACCTCTTCTCAAACACTTCATCTTCCTTTTCCAAACCTGTCCCTCCCTCCTCAACCCCCACCTTCCACCCTCAACCCCCACCACTTACTATGCTCTTGTAGATGAAATTTGCCAAGGTGAGGGCAGCTGCTGACCGGAAGTACTTTCGATAATCCTTGCGGGCCTGGCAGGGACAGACGAGAAAGCAGGCAAAGTAAAGATAGACAGTTAGACCTAAAAGACAACAGATCGAGAAGAGGTTCTACTATTTCTCACCCACACAAAGAACACAGTAAGCTAAAGAGCTGACACTGTGCTAGGAGCCAGTAAAGGCAGATGAGATGGCAGAGAGGAGGGCCCTCCAAGCAGCAAGCAGAGCTCTGTTGCCAGGTCGGAGACACACCCAGGCACATGCACACGTCTCCCCGGCATGCGTCCACACTCCCGGACACACACCAGCAGACCCAGAAACACACGCAGACACGCCATCACGCCATGGGAGGTCCCGCTTTCTGCTACTCTTTCCTCCCCACTGCCGACACACTCCGGGAGAAACCACGTGGCGGAAGGACCCAGGCGTCAGGAGGAAGCCCCGCTGCCCTCCCCCGTTACCTTCCACCCTCGCACAAAAGCCTGGATCAGCAATGCTGACGCCTTTATCTTCCCATAACGTTTCTTTTGCTGCAGGAAACAATAGGCCTGTTAGGAAAAAACCCCATCTCCTGAACCACCTCTCCCGCTTCCCAGTCTCCTATTAGAGCGAGGAGGTGGGACTTGGGGGGTAACTGGTACCACGTTGCCCCGAAACCAGGCGGAGATGACGATCTGGCTCTTGCGCATCAGCTGGTAGTGGGTGCGGCAGCGCCAGCCCCGGTAGGTCTTCTGTATGAGCGTGGCCAGCTGCTGCAGTCTCAGGCGCCGCTGCTCTTCCAGGTGGAACAGCTGTGGAGAGTGGAAGGAGGAGCGGAACGGCTGGCCTGGGGGAACCCGGGCGACGGGCCTTCCCAACCAGTGTCGTACTCATTCCTTTGTCTTCTCAGCACCTGCACTCACTCCATGGGCACCTACTGAACTCTAACTCTGTCACGGGCCTGTGCTAGGTTTGGACACTCAGACACGAGTGGCGCATGCCCGGGACCCTCAGGAGTCCCGCTCCAGCTAGAGGCACTCAGCATGGGCTGTGCAGGGAGCCCAAGGATTCAGGTCCCGGGGATAAAGTCCCTGGCGAGAGCAGACTGCCTCACCCACCATCCACCCCCTGTTACAGATGCTCCTCTCTGTCCCAGCCTCTCACTCGTGGGCTCTCCAACCTGTCTACCTCCCACCTGCGCCAAACACAAGTGCTCCCTCCAACTCACAGTCCTGGGGCTTCTGATGAAGATCTTCGTCTTCCCGAAGACCAGCTCCTCTGAGGACAAGCTCAGCTCCTCCACAACCTTCTTGACCCCCTCCCTACAGGAACAGATGGAGAAAGCTGCCCAGGGGCATCCCAGGGAAGGGTCTTCTTTCAACTTTCCCCAACTTCTTCTACGCAGAGAAGGGTTCAGGGCTTGCACAGACTTCAGAGCCTCTGAAAAGTGAGCTTTCATTTCACCAAGTATCCATTCACAGAGCTTTGGGGATTTACATGACACTGCTCTCTCCCCGGCCCAGATGGTCCCTGCTCCCGTCTCCCCCAGGAGTCTTACCGGTCTCCCCCATTCCAGCGAGGCCACGTGCTCCGGCTTAGCAATTGGTACCTTTCCAGGAAGGGCCCGTACCTCTGGCGGTAGGCATAGCCCGCCCGTCGCACCCGCACGTTCTCTAGCAGTCCCAGGTACCGAGTCTGGATGGCCACCAGCTCCGACGAGAACTGACCTCGCTGCTGATGCTCATTGGGCTTTATACACCTTGGGGTGGAGGGGTGCAAGGCACAGGCCTCAGGAGCTTCACCTTTGCAAGTATGACCCATCCTGGTCTCCATAACCCTATTCTGCGCACGGTCCCCTGGGTAGAAACATTTCAGAGGAAGTGAACACGCTGGCCTTCCCAGCTTCACTCACTGTAGCATGGTCCCTATCAAAGTCTGATGCTCTCCCTGCTACAGGACTCTCAGCAACTCATCTGGCTTTGTTTTTTATGAGGAAAGGGCCTCGGATACCCCTATTCCAGAGACACCCCCCCCCCCACAAAAGACAAGGTCTATAGTGCACGAACACTGCATGTGCATCACATACGCTGCATTTCCCTATGTGCCCGGCGTGTCACCTGATGTAGTTGGGGTTTTTGGAATACAGGTTCTTCATGAGTATGGCCACAGAACTCTTGAACTGAGCCCCAGCAGTCGGGGGGCGTTTGAGAGATGCCTGCTTGGGATCTCCCTCAGGGAACAAGGACCGAAGGAGGGGGTGCCGGGCCTTCCACATGGCCTGGGACAAGTCCCGGAAGAGTAGGTCATTGTTCTTATCAATGAAGCTGTTCACGTTGTAAGTCACCTATAGAGAAACAGCTGTTGGTCTGGAGGGCCCGTGACCCTGTCCCAGCACTTGGTGCTCCCAGTCTCAGCGTGAAGTGTTCCCAGATCTCATCACCCCACAGTTTCTCCCCCATTGCCTTCCACCCACGCCCAGCCCTAGTCTCTACCCTTCAGCCCTGCCATGTCACCTTGCCCGCATAGTGGCAGATACGGAAGCTGCTGAGGCCCATGGTGTGGTCATACTGGTGCTGGGCATTCTGGGTGACTTTGCTCTCATAGTGATTGTGCTTGGAGAAGAGCTGGTTCAGCTTCGCTAGGAAGGTGGTGTCACTGACCACCCCAGGCCGTAGGCACTCCTCGTCCAGCATGGCCAGGATGCCTCGCTGATTCTGGTCAGGGAAACAAGATCAGCCCAACCTAGCCAGGTCCTCCAACATGTCCACATTCTCACTGCTGTCCCTCTGCCGCTCACCCTTTGTCCTCTTTACCATCCTTACCAAGTGGGGCAGAGGGAGGAGGGTGGGAGAGACAGGGCAAAGATATCTGGGCAGTCTGGAAGAGGAAGGAGGTCTCAAATGAGAGAAGGATAACTCACATGCTCAATGAGGTTGCAGATAATGCCATTATCAAAGTAGTCCACCTTTGTCCATGGTATGCCCTGGCAAGAAGAGATGTGACAGGTCACAGGAGCAGGTCCAAGACCTCATGGGGCTCAGCTTCCCTTTCACCCACCCCACAAAGGACTCAGAAAGCCCTGTAGTTAAGAGGGGTGCTTGCTGTGGTTTTTGTTTAGGTCCCATTCCCTCCAAGGTTGATGGAGAATTTGTGGTGTGGGTGGCTAGACACATGGGAGGACCCAAAGCAGCTGTGAGGAAGGGGGAGATGCTGCAGAGAGCCCTGTAGGTAGCTGTGGGGTGGAGACAGAAGTGTGATATGTTGAGTAAAGGCTGCAATAGGGATTACCCTGCTGTGGGAGTAGGGAAGCATCCCTGAGGATGTGGAAGAGCAAATGGCCACACTGCTCTCACGACCTATAAAACCAAAGCACATGAGCCCACCTCATCAAACAATAGACCTACCTTGATACATCTTCAAAGACCTACATCAGTGCTTCTCAAATTTGCATCACAGTCATCTGGAGGGCTTGGGAAAACAGACTGCTGGGCCCCACCCGCAGGCTTTCTGATGTAGCATGAACTGGACAGAGCCCCCAGGAATCTGCCTTTCTAACACCTTCCTGGGGGATGCTGATGCTACTAGTTTGAGAACCACTAATCTACCTGATACTTTGGGATTGTATAGTTTTTGTTTTTTTT